CATTAATATTCATATGCAATTAATAATTATTATCAATTTGATTCATTTGAGTTTCCTATAATCTTCAAAATGTTTTTTTTTTGAATATTCATTTAAAGATATTTAATGCAATCACAAAAATGGTTCTTCAAAAAAAGAAGGAGCAGCAAGCAAAAGCAAGCGAACAGTCTGGAACAATCAAAGTCCACCAAAAACAACATAAGAAGAGATGGTTGAAATGTGTTATTTTGTAGTCAAATGAATTTAGCAGTAGAATAATGATCTCCTTAACATTAATTGTTGCTGAGACTTATGGTCACTTATCCAATTCCAGCAAGTCCTCATCCAAGGRATGAGGTTTTCTAAAGGATAAAATATTACTGCAAGATGGTAGAAAAGGTTTATTCTGACTTACAGCCTCTTGAAATTAAAAGCAGCTAGATTACACACAGAGAGAGATTATTTGAGCAGCAGTTTGGGTTATAATGGCATCATTTTCAACCTAAACGTTTTGATCTTTTATAATAATTATACATTCAAATTATTTTGAGTCACAGAAATTCTTAGCAAATTCTGAGCTGCAAATTAGGGCTCAGAAAAAATCTTAGACTTGATTTGTGGTGTATAATCACCTATTGCCTTAGAGATGCTTGCATGTGAGAAGTTTTGGAGTATGTCCTCCTTAAAGATTTGTAATCTGGCCTCCTGGCAAATTCCTTCACATATGGCAAGATCTTTGAGGTCACCCAAGGAAATTATGCTTTTTTGCTGTTTTTTTTTAGCAGACAATTTAAGTTAAAATGAAATTAATGTTTATTAGAAAAGCAATCTCTAGCATGCTTGGAGTACCAAAACCTATMGTATGTGGTTAACTTACAACCTTTGYAAAAAATGCTCTGTCCTGCTCAAGAATTGTCACTTACCTATTTACTTTTCTTTTTCCAAAAAGCAGAGAACTTTCAAAGTTTCAAACACTTTTGTAATGATTTTGTACATATGAATGCTGTCTGCTTGTAGATCAATATTGTAATATTTGTTTTATGTTATATTACAGCTATGGCTGAAATAAWGAATTACATGAATTTCAAAGCTTTGTTTAATGTATTGTCATTTAGCCATTATAAAGTGATTGAAATATCAAACAAATTCATAAAAAATATCAATGTCAAAGAAAAGATACCAGGGTAGCCCCTTACTGAAGAAAATCCAGTTTTTTTTCTGGGTTTACTCTTAGAAAACCTATGAAGTTAAGACTGGATTAACACTAATCCAGCTTTTGAACAACCTGGCCCAGTATCTTGCTAAATATGTTCAATGGTGGATTTTGTGTTGTGACCTCAGAACTTTAAACCCATGCCAAATGAGTGAAAAATGATACTCTTGMCTTAAATTCATGTACATACTGTATACTCGTGTCTGAATGTTTTGTTCACAAGCTCTTCTCTTTGAGAACAGTTCGCAGGCAAAGTGCAAACAGTTCGTGAATGACATGAGAACGTTCACAATCAAAGTGTGAAAAAAAAAACGTTGACGATTCGTGAACTGCTTGCACAATTTTGTGAACAAGGTACATGTGATTTCTAGCAGGCCATACTGTATGCAACTCTAACATGTATAATGTTTGAAGTCGTACTTACACAAAATGCAAGCTGACTGAGGCCCACAATATTTGACTAGGTTTAATTAGCCTTTAATATGTTTGTTCTTTTATTATTTCATTTTTAATCTGTTTAATACAAATACATATGCAGATGATAATTCTATAACTTTGCCATAAACATTAACTAAACTAGACTAATTTCTGCACAAAAAAACAGTCTTAAAAAGTGTTCTTGATTCTGTTTTGAGTTCAATAGCCAGCTTGAACCATTTAAATAGTTTTTCTTTTTATAAAATATGAAGAGTAGTGTATCTTTWAGGCAGTATTAAAATGGTTCATACGAACCATACTGTAATGATCAAATATCAACCAAAGTATGAATAATAGTTCCATAAAATATTACCACATAAAACATTAGAACGGTGGTCTCAACATTATTACTGCATGAGAGGATGTCCTTAGAAACTTCTGTTAATAAAAACACTACACATATAGARCCTTTGCAGTTCATGGGAATGGAGKTCTAAATGYAGYCCAAAACAATGGAATCATAGTTCCCAAGRGGGATAAAATCGTTTGTTTTGTRGTRAAGATTAACCTGKTTTGTTGACATCAAATGCAAGGGTTCTATACACATAATGACAGTCACATTTCAAATTTCAATTACTTAACCTATCTAGACATAACAAAACAATTATTTCATGATGAGTAGCGAGTTGTCTTTGACTTGTTTCTAACTTGTTTCATTAACTCAAATAATAAACCTACAATAAACTTAAAACCATTAGCAGCCTTAGTTTATTGATAAACTTAATTTAACCTTAAAACCTCTCATAAAATGTAGTCAAAACATCAAAGAGCATTTGAAAAATTATTTTCTAAACTTTCTATGAGGTCAGACTAATTTCTTTTTTTAGCCCAATTGCACAAAAATGCACAGTGTATTGGTTACAAAATGATTCCTGGCTCTGGGGAGAACTGGGTGCATTCCACTGTAACATTGTCACTCTGTGAAACAACCATAAGCAAAATGATGATGGTCTGTTTCACAGATTTATGGAATTCACTCTCTTCCTAACTAGAACTCACAGTAATTCCTATTAATATATATACTTAGTAATTYAGCTACTTTTAATAGTCTCCTTTGCACCTTTAAACTTGGCAATGCAATGTTTTTTTAGTGGAAGTATTTTCATGACTAAGTGGGTAAAATAATTATGCTTATTTTACTGGTATTAACACCTGAACTTAATATTTTTCTGTTTAACTAGAATGCTTTTAGTAAAAATGTGAAATACTAAATACTAAATTGTACAAAATAGTTCTATTTGAACAAAAGAATTAGCATAAAATAGTACAAAATAATATATTAACTAATTTTTCACGCTTTTACTAAAAGCACTCTAAAAYCTTGTTGGGCTTAKTATCATGGTTGAGTAATACAAGAATAGRATCCAAATTGAAAYTCCAWRAAATGGTTGTTTATAGGATTTCGACCAGGGATTAAGGTACCATCATTTGCTGCATATGTTAAAGCCTGTCTGCAATGACACTTCTGTCAGCTTGATGTTATYCTTTCGGKTATAARYCACATCTGTTTCATTTTTATGGCAGGTGCCTTTGTCACAGTATGATTTCTGGCCCTGTGTAAACCTGCAATAGTGCAAAAAGAACTATCAATGACATGGTTGGGCTCTAGGAAATACATATTTAACAATAGAGAAAAGTTGTAAAGACAAGATCTTATCAAGAAAGATTGTTAAAAAAAAATAGAATGCTCGCATTTTTTTTAGAATGCGCTACAAATACTTTAACTACTTATGAGTATTGCATAATAGTTTACATACCTGTGAATCACAATAAAAATCTCTTGGTGGATTCACTGGAATAAGCCATCGTACTCTAAACAAATACAAAAAATTTAAGTTAGTTTTAGTTTTTTTTAGTAATTTATTTCAATAGTCTGTGCATAGTGCTTAAATTTTGAACATTTATATAATTACTGTACAATTTATTCATTATGATAAAAATAATATACCTGTCTTTTTCATCAGTTTTAACATCTTGAGAAAATGWTGGCTGAAAATAAGTATTGTTTAAAATATGAATGGGTTTCCTCTATTTTACAGTGAACAGGGACACTCAAAGTTGAATCACTTCTTGATGAGAAGCCAATCAAATTGTAGTATTTAGTTCAATATCGTAAGGAGTATGAGAGAATGCTATAATTTGATTGGTTTGTCAATTCTGTCTGGTTTTACTGATTTTTGATTGATTAGCTCAAAGAGGTCCCAGTTTGGGTAATTCTTGACTGTATTTATTAAGGATAAAAAAGAAATTAAAAAAACTATTTCAAGAATGAAGTATGAAACAGTATTGAAATTATGTTTTTGCCTTACCATTTGATCACATTCTTTGTAATAGTTACAGTCTCTTTCCTTCAATGCAAGGAAAAGCACAACATTACACAAAATTATTAGTACAGTATGCATTATATGATAACCACAATTATACCACAATAGCACAACATTACACAAAATTATTAGTACAGTATGCATTATATGATAACCACAATTATACCACAATAGCACAACATTACACAAAATTATTAGTACAGTATGCATTATATGATAACCACAATTATTCTCTAATTTGCATGAATAATACCTCTTGAGGTGCATAAGGTGGTGCTAATATATCTAAGAAAGCTGTTGGTCCAGGACTGAAAAGAGAAAAGTAAACTGATCAAGAATCATATTATACAAAGTGAAAAAAAGACAAATCCAATAAGATATTCTTCACAGCAAATTCCAATTATACAATTCACAAATTTAACTTTATTGATAGCTCATATTTATTCACTACCATTGAAACAGGTTATGGTTAGAGCGGATTTTGTATGAGTGGGAAACGGARGGTACTGTACTGRGACCGTAATRGTACTGTAACCAAATTCTAGTGCCCCACTGATTCACCAAAATAGTGCAGGCCAGGTCRGGTAACTGTGCGYTAACCGTGCSGTAACGGTGTCCCACTCATARGAAATCCGCTCTATAAAATAAATAATGTAGTTATACTGTCACCTACACAGCATGTATTGAGTGATAATTGCCAATCATTGGCGTAAGAACGCAGCTACCAGTACTRGAGTCATAGGTCATATCATTCATAACTTGACATCTGATTGCTCTTTCTGATGAACAATCAAATAAAATACCTATTAGTGGACACATGGAAATAATGGCYGTTTGATATTCTCTGAGCAGAGGATCATTTTACCCTTCTGTTTAGTAAATGTAAAATATACCCCTTGAAACGTAGTTAGAAGAGGTAGACTGTCTCCCACTACTAACTATACTTGAATTGATGATAAATTTTGTTTGAAAGCCATCTCAGCTTGARARAGCTGGTTCAGGTTTGAAGGTTATTTGTCAAATTTAGGAGTTTGATTGACAGKAGCCTGGTGGTTATTGTTCAACTGTTGGAGCGTGTATACATTTATTTAACTCAGAGTATTGTAGTCAAAAACTTACTTTGTTTCACAGTACCATTGACAGCTTCACTGTTTCTAAACCAACAGGAAAGAATTATTGTTAAGTTAAGTAAGGTAAACAGATGTTATTGAATAAAATATGAACAAAAAGAAAAGTCAAATATACTAACCCATCACTTGACAAGCTGTAACATCTTACTTTTATTTTACCATAAAGAACTTTACTGTAAAACCAACAAGGAGTACATGAGTGCTTTTCGCTAGCAATAGCCGACTTGCAAATTTTGCCTCAGCACACACACACKAAAGAATCAAGTCGAGTCACTGTGCATAAAGCTCAGTCATTCGTGAAGAGACAATAGTTTTTCACAATTCACTGAGCTTTATGCACAGTGCCTCGTCTTGATTCTTTTGTGTTTGACTACTGGTGCTGAATTCACAAGTCGGCTATTATTTCAATCATAAAAAACATGTAACTTTGTTCTTATTTCAAAAAAACAACAACAACAAACAAACAAACAAAAACAATTGAACTTACCATAAACCATACATACTAGGGTGATCGTGAAGAGGAATCTCACAACCTTTCTTTATTATAAAAACACCCATAGAGAAGTAGGGGCACTCATAAATACCAATATGAGATACGGGTGCTTCTCTTGTTGGTGGAACTATGGCATCTAACTGTTCATTTGGTAATGAGAGATTGATGTCATCTGCTGTTAACTTATCAAGCTGGAGAAGACAATCAACAATTTTAATAAAAATATTCAACATTTCTAACGTTGATCAAGAAACAGAATTTTTACATTTTTTTATAAATTTGGATTGCGAAAAAGTCATTCAATTCACTTGAAATAATTCTGGGAGGAGTTCAATT